GCTGAACAATATCAATCTTTAAGAAGTGGCTTTCCTTTTTTCAGTATTGGTTCCCTCAAAAACCCATTTTAATGAAGGTTTTTCAGCATCAGTTTCTATACTATACTGAATTATTCGAGTGTTCATCTGGAAGATTCCTGGCAATTGACATGATTTAAGAAATTACAACAGTGTTTCAGTACTGGGATTGTGGAAACACAGAATTACATTCTGTAGAATGAAAGTTGTCCTACAAAGAAAACTGCTTTGGGTTTTGTATGTGCTAACAAGTTAGTGATGAGAGTTGAGGAAAGTGTAACTTCAGTCAGTGTAGGGGATATGACTGAGTGTAAGTTTACTCAAATTATGCATTTTTAGTTTAGTTGTATGAGTTTGTTTGGAGGATGTGAGATAATTTTCCTTGGTAATTCCTCACAGATTTTTCAGAGAAAATTACGTATCTGTAGCAAGATAATTTAGAGATGGTTGCTCTTCGATTGCCTCACTGAAGGATGGAGCCAGTTTTGCAGCAGACTAGTGAGCAAGGCTCCAGTTACTTTCTCTTTACCTTCTTTAGGCTTCCAATTTTGGACAATGTTAGCACAACTGCAGGAGGTAGTTTGAATAATTGTTGTGCTTCTTTCCAAAGAACCTTGGAAGAGGGTTAGTAAAATTGTCAGCCACTTTTTTTTTTCTTTTTTTTTTAAATAGTCTTGGAACTTACGTGCACGCTGTCTTTTGCTTAATGTGGCAGAAGTATTATGTTGCTGTTTGAGACTAAGAAGCCTGAACAGACAGAGTCTTCAAGACAGTGATCAATGTGTGCATTATTTGGCTTACTGCTTTTTCAGAGAAATACTTGGCTTTATTACAGTCATGTAGGGCTGCAGAACTAAAAGCCTTTACAAACCTGTGAAAACAGTAGTAGTTCAAAACTTGAAAGAGCGTATGCAGAGATATTATAATACACTGGGTTAAAAAGTCATGTTGGAATTTAAAAAGACGTGCAATGGTTTGGAGAGAATGCAGTACTGCAGCAAATCTGAAGTACCTGAATATGGAATATGCAAACTATGTATTTCAGGATTAGTCTTTTCAGTTTTTTCTTGGCAGTGTAAGACCCCAAAAGGCACATTTTCATGCATTTCAGTAGTTCTGATATTCACTTGATAAAATTGCACTCTTATTCCTGGGCTTCAGACTATATTAATTCATAAAAAGTGAATATGGAAGTTAAATAGCTCCAAGTTAATACATTTCCTTAGCGGAGGTACAAAAAAGTGCCAGGAAGTCTTTTTGTCTGAACAGTTTGCTCAAAACCCGCTTTTTCTCTCTTGGATTATTTCATGGTAATAGTGCTATATAGCCGCAGATCAACATCGCATGACATGTTTTTGAATGATCCTGACATTCTTGTAATATTGTACGTATTTCCATGAAGACCAGAGGTACCGTTTCTGAACCATTTATCTTTGAGTCCGTGATTACTTCAGAGAGGTCACGTGCATGTTTTAATGAGGGAAGTAATTGGAGTTCAGTATTCTTGTTTTGTTTGTTATTTCTCCCCAAATGTAATTCCTCCTTTTTCCATTTAGACTTAATAATTTAAGGCCACCTCATTAAGATGATTTCTTCCCCTACTTTACACATGTGAGTCATTGTTAAATGAGCACTTCATCTAAATCACCAACATTTGGTTGCTTTTTTCTTCTATGTATGTAAATGCTCTAAATGAAATACTGTTTTCTTTCAATTTCATTTGGAAAAGCAATCACTTAAATACAATTTGAGTAAGTGAGGTCAACTGGCTCAAGAAAAGAAAGGCAGGTATTTATTTAACATGTTCTTAGATGCAAATTTTTGTGTCTGCTACTGAGCCTCTGTTACCGTGACTAGAGTTAACTCCAGAGTCTTGTAGAGAAGTTTTGGCACCTGCTGGTAGAAAAAGGCTTTCCGTTGTCCAGGTTAAATCATCTCCCCAGATATCATTAAGCTCTTCTACAGCTGCATCTACATCAAACAGATTAGCAGCCTGCTTCTATTTCGTTTCTCTGGAGCATGCAAGGCAGGCTTCTGCATAAGCAGTGCTGTCAGTCCACCTGAGCATGGGCAGAGGCTGCCCACGCGAAGCTAGGCCGTAATCAGATGCTATTTGTAAAAACTAAGTGAAGATCTTAATTCTACATACGATGATTCCTGTAAGCCTGTAACAGTCTGAACTGTGCTGTTGTCTCAGGCCAGCTTTGATGAGCCATCACTACTTTTGTAAGTTATTTCTGAAGTTCGTTTTTCACCTGTTCAAGAATAGCCCCATTAATTGTCTTGCTTTATGCAAAGTTATTTTGTTTAGAAGAAACTGGAGCACTTTTCCAGTAGTGAAAATGTTCCACTACTGTTCCAATATTAATGGCCTATTTAACAAGCATTTTAGGTCTTAGTTGCATATAAACCTTGAATATGTGCAGGCAAATTTGAGTAATAATAAACTCGGAATTGTATCCTACTGTTTTTAAACAAGCTCAGTATTTTAGTTTCAAACTTGTATGGCTGTATTTTATGTTTTCAAATATTACATTTGAGTGAAAAGAAAATTACCTTTTTTCATGGGGAGGCAGCAGTTTAATGCCTAGGTAGAAACTTAAATATTTGATGGTACAAAACCTGTATTTTGCCTTGAGACTGTTTACTTCCCACCACTTCAAGCCTTACCCACTTGCCAGTGCAGTCAATTGGAAAACTTTCATTAGCTCAGTAACCTCTAGATCTTTTCTGTAATACATGTGGAATTCATTGTGTTAGGCTTGTCTTTATTTTAGCAATAAGAGAATAAAAAGAAAATTTACTGAAATACTGTAGTAGTGAATAGATCTTACCTGATTTTAGTATACATTGGGTTGCATTTTGGGCTGAACTAAAATACAGTTGCAGTATTAAATGTCAGAAAACATTTTCATGAAAAAGGTTGATACATAATAATTTGCAACAACAGGGGCCATGAGGAACTATATGATTCAGAAACTGAAGTGGACAACTGTAACTATAAGCTAATAAAAGGTATTAAATGTCGTTACCTATTTTTTAAAGGCTGTGTTATGGTATTGTATGATTTCCTGACTCTGAGTTAGCTTTATAGAAAACAGTTTGGGAAGCATACGTTATTTGGTACAGGTATGATAGTTACCTCAGTGACTCTTAAATGTATCTGTTAAATGGAAAATCAAAATTGTGTGTGCATCTGGGATGGCAGGTTTGAGGGAATGGCGACACTTTCATTCAACTTCTGTATTCTTAGAGGAATATCTTTTGTATTTTTATAAAGTACTTATTTCTTGGTTTATCATTATGTTTCGTAAATGATTCTTGTGTTCTGTTCGAAGGGAGGCTTATATGAAATGTTTAGATACAGTTTCTAAGTCATTCCTGTCCAACCTGTGGGTGGTTGAGCGAAATGTTAAAATTCTGTGGTAAAGTAATTTGTATTGGGGTAGAAGGAAGCTGATTTTGAAGTGGAAGAGAAATTAGGTCATTTTGTTTGTGGTTTGTTTTTTTTTTTTACCGTTGTAAGCAAAGTTTGTTGGTCTTAGCTATTGAGAATATGAATGGCTTGTCCCTGATAACATGTTGTTTGAGCTAGTATAGAATTTACATTTAAAGGAAATCACTGGAGGTTTTAAATATGGTTTTTTTAATGGGTTTATGTAAATTAATCTACTACTTAAAATAGATTTGATATAATTTTTATATAATTTAGTGAAAATGTCTATGAACTGTTTCAGATAAGCTATGAAATCTGGTAGTGCTAGTAGATAATCATGGCTAGTATTTAGATTGGGGGGTGTCACTTTTAAAGACAAATTTAGTGAGATGTTTTCCTTTGTCTCTGTAGTTATCAGAGACTGTTACAGACGATTGCTGTACTCGAGGCTCAACGTACTCAAGCAGTTCAAGACCTTGAAAGTTTAGGCAGACACCAGAGAGAAGCACTGAAAGATCCTATTGGATTTGTGGAAAGACTCCAGAAGAAGGTATTTCAATGGGCTTTTCTTAAGTCTTACTTGAAAAATTTTTTTTAATAACTAGTAACTTCATTGTCTGTAGAAATCAGAGAATTCTATGTATACTTGCATAAACATTATGAGTTTAAAATCCTTCCTCTGCTGAGCAAAAATGGCCCTTTGCTTATTAAATCTGTAAGACATAGGTCTTCAATGATTTTATTAGATATGCTTTCTTTCCTTTTTTTTTTTTGGTATGTAGAAATGTAATCTTTAAATTTCTAATTGTAGTGTAGGTATTTTAAGACAGCCTGAAATTTACAGGTGACAGGAAGTACTTCATAGTAAGGCAGGTCAAGAATTCATAACTTTTCTCAGTAGAGAAATTAAATGTGCTATGAGTGAATTTGGTAGGGTAGTACTTTTTAAAGAGCAGGAAATGTAGTTCATAGCCTAAACCCAAAATGAATGCTAGAAAACATATCTCAGTTCTGGATAACATAATAAAATATTGTCTGATGGAGGAGAATTAGTTTTGATAAGGAAACACTTTCTTTTCAAGCTTTAAAGAAAAAATTGTAGTAACAGGAATACTGAAAAAATGTTTAAAGCTTGAATACTTTATTGCTGCCACTTCTACCAGTGACAAACACTTGACCTTCTAGTCTGGTCGCAACGTGTTGTATTTCAGTGAACAATGGAATAGGTGTTTTATGGTGCAGTTTTCTTAGGTTTGTAGAGACCTAGGTTTAAAGAGAGGTCTGATGTAAGCCCATCGGTTTCAGTAGTTGTCTTTCCATTAAATTTTGAGATGACTTATAGCATGCATGACGTAATAGTGTTGCATTTGATAATCATTGGGGAAATACTAATGATAGTTGAAAGTATCTGGTGTATTTTTGTCTCCAAACCAAAGGAATGATACTGTTAAGGTTGACCTTTAAATAAAGTGGTGAGCTTTGCAACAGTTGTGTTCTAGGCAGAAGACAGCAAAATCAGTGTGAAATATACATTGATTTCTTTATGGGAGGAGTTTAGGTTTATCAGATGATAAAACTGAGTCCTATAGTTTTCTGTGTTAAGAAAGGTACAGATCCTGGGCAAACAGTATGTTTAAACAAAATAAAAGACAGGTAGACAGTAGCAGGGTATTGAAGTCAGCAACACATGATTTCAGCTGTGAAATACACGCTTTAAAGCTTTATGCTCAATAAGCCATCATTGACCGTGCCGCTGCATATTTTATGTGCACTGTTGTGTATTATTCTTGAAAGATATCTTCTTCTTAAAAAGACCATGTGCTGCATGGCACTTCAAAAGTTCTGATTTTGAATTCTGCTGTTAGCTAAAAGCAGTATCAGGTTTTCATAACTTTTCAGGATTCATAGTTTTTTCTTTGGGTATACGGCAGTTGTGTTAAATATTGCTTTTCACTTTTCACTCTTCTTTTTTTTCAGGTCGATATGGGTCTTCCGTATCCTCAGAGAGTTGTTCAGCTCCCTGAGATTGCCTGGGACCAATACACCACTAGCCTTGGAAACTTTGAGAGAGAATTCAAAAACCGAAAACGTAACAGTAGGAGAGTGAAGCTGATTTTTGACAAAGGTAAAAGGAAAGTAGGCATACATTACAAGAAAGAAATGACCAGTGCAGAGGTTTAATAATTCCTTTTTTGTGTTGCTTACAGTAGGTATACCTGCAAGACCAAAAAGTCCTTTGGATCCCAAGAAGGATGGAGAGTCTATTTCATACTCTGTCTTGCCTTTAAGTGATGGTCCAGAAGGTTCTACAAACAGTCGTCCACAGGTAGTTGTTACAAAAGGAAAGATAAAATTTTAGAAAATTTACTTTTGAATTTTTTTTCTTTTTCTTTTTTAATATGGATAATCTTAACTGTTACTTGAAGTGTTAATGTTGGTGATGATATTCATGTACTCAGATCAGAGAACTTATTTTTGGTTTAGGCAAATTTATTTCAAATTTTCATGTGTTTATTTGGTTTGGTTTTACTTAGGAAAGGGTTAAAATCAAGTTATCCTAACTGTACTTTTTCTAAACACGTATTCCATTTTATGTACTGTATTTGAGCAGATGATAAGAGGACGACTTTGTGATGAGACCAAACCTGAAACTTTTAACCAGCTGTGGACTGTAGAGGAACAGGTAATGGAAAACTTCCATTTTGTAGCTGTGGTAACATACATGAGAATAAAACCAAATTGTGTAATAATGTTTAAAGCACTTAGAAGTTCAGAGTCGCATGTATTTAGGTACTCTTCTTTTGACAACTCATACCTCTCCTAGGAAAGGTGTATTTATTTTTTTTTCCCTGTTGATTTAGAAAAAACTTGAGCAATTGCTTTTGAAGTATCCACCAGAGGAAGTAGAGTCCCGACGGTGGCAGAAGATAGCTGATGAACTGGGAAATAGAACTGCAAAGCAGGTAACAAGTAAAACACTTGAAGTAATCCCTTTCCTTGACTCCGCCCCCCCC